GCCCTTACAGTTTTTAATAGTAGGACTAGATCTGGGTCTGCTTGATTTCTGATTTTCCTGTGTTTTGATCATCTTGATTAAAACCCACTAAGATGCTAGAGATTTAGCTCAGTGGCACTGCGCCTGCCTCGAAAGCGCAAGGTCCTGAGTTTGATCCCTGGTACCAAAAAAACGCCCCCAAAACAAAAACCTCACTGAGATTATTGACACCTAAGGAAGAAAATGTTAGGTCTCATTGTGTATCTAAGATCGAATGCTATTTGACCTTTTTGTTTTGACTGTATACAAAATTAAGTCTGTTTAGAGGAAAAAGTAAAATCAACCAAATATGATAATTCATTCTGGATGGAGGATTTTAAATGTTTTCACTTGTGGTATAAAGCAAACGGAAGAAGGAAATAAGATTCCTAGTTGAATGTCTTGAGAATAAGGCCATAAAATTTTAGAGTTGACTGGAATATTAATTTTAGTCATTCATTTTTTTCTGTTTCCCACAAAAAATCTATAATTATTGGAAATATTGATGCGTCTTTTGATGAAATATTAAAGATGAAATTTCTGGTGTTCATTAAAGGTAGTAATAGTTGGATTGAAGCAGGTTTGCGCTAGAACATGAAAGGCTATCTATGGATTATCGTCAGCACAGTGCTGAGCCCTTGATGGTTTCCCCCATATTGTATCCAAGCATTAGAGCACAGGCTGAGAGGGCTGCTCTGCCCTCCTGTCCTCTCTCTCCTGCCCTCTTGGGTGTCTGCTCTAACGCGAGTCTGTGGGGGTCATGGGGGTGCCCGCACTGGGGGAGCCTGCTCTGTATGGAGTGCTTAGTTTGTGACAGGATTAATGACATATTAAAAGAATCTTAATACAGAATAAGAGTGATCAAAGTCCTAATTACCATAAAAAGGGGTTTTAAAAAGTGCAAATGTAGGGCCAGGGATTTAGCTCAGGGTTCCGCCGCCTGCCTCGAAAGCAGAAGGTCCCAAGTTTGATCCCTGGTACCAAAAAAAAAAGTGCAAATGTGAGTTGACAAAGGACAAACCTAAAGATTCACTGATGAAATGGTGTTTAACCTGGACTTTGAAGAACGAGTAGGATTTTAACAAAATATCCAGTATACTTGGGGAAAATTCAGAATTGTAGCTTGTTAGTGGTAGTGTTTGGACTACATAATGGTACTTCACCTTCACAGCAACTGTCTGTAACACATTGCATCTCTGAATGTAAAATTTTAGCAGGAGAAATTTGTGACTTTTAAATTAATGTTAGTTTACTAGAAAAAACCACCCTCATTAGATCAGGCTTGGAAAAAGGAAAGTATTTAAGGTTAAATATTTTATCATGGTTCAGAGGATTTGAGGTCTTTTTTATATTTTTGAAGGGTGTAACTCATGATGTGAGAACTATTGTATCTTATATAAGAAGCTTTCTCCTGGATTTTTTTGTTTTTTTGAGACAGGGTCTCATTATGTAGTCCAGGTGGCTTTGAACTCACAGTGATCCTCCTGCCTCAGCCTGTCAAGTGCAGGAATTACAGGCGTTTGCCACCATGCCTGGCTTCATTTTGAAAATACCATTGTTACAGAAAGTGAACTGAGTATGCCACAGCTGCATACTGTTAGCTCCATTAAAAGGCTGCTGTGCTAGCAAACTGGTCTGATTGCTGCTCGCAGGATTACAGCTGATTGCAGATGGAAAGCAATGGAATGTTTCTGCCATAAGGTCTTTTATGAAAAAGGAGAAAAGCGTGCTTGAGGGATGTGCAAAGTGTGAAAACTGAGTAATAGCCATTTTATTTGAGCACTTTGTGGTCTCAGAGGAAAGATTTTCCATGCACAGATAAATGTTACTGCTTTGACATTTTGGAGTCCCAAGCACATACAAATGGCTCTGTTCAATAATACCTCATTATGTTCCAAGCTTCTCCCACTTTGGAAGCATTTTTTATTGTCTAATTACGTTGTTTTTAAAAAATGCACACATTTATGGTTAGTTTATACGTGTAAATCTGGAGACAATGAACCTACGTAAATTTCCCAGCAGAACAGGAGGTGGATAAAGCTGGCTTTCCCTTTCTCTGCAAGAGACACTCTATGTATGGGGTGACTGAACCACAGTGTTCAGCTTTGTCTTTAATCATAGGATTCTATCTCTCGCCCTTTGGTAAATCTCCATTTACAATCATCCTCTCCCAGGGTCTTTTGTTTTTTTCATTGTCCAATCTTAGTGGGACAGAAGCAAACTTGATTTTTTTTCTATTGCTTACACTGTATGTCTTGTAAGGCTTTTTCATTCACATATACATTTCTAAATCAAATGCTCCACATCATGGCTGGCATG